GTCGCCGTCGTCGTCGTCGTCGTCGTCGTCGTCAGCGGCTGACAGCAGCTGCGACCGATTGAAACGCGCTTTCTTTCCGCGCGCCTTCGATCGATCGCGTTCGATTACCGTATATCGCGTCTACGTAGTCGTGGCACTCCGCGTGCGTGCGTAGATGGTTGATCGATCGGGTGGTTTTGGTTGGATGAATGTGTGCGTGCGTTGGTGCGTCGCCGGATAAGAAAGCCGGGTGTGCGAAACGTTGACGTGGTGTTACGCACCCTCGAGAGACGTCAAGACGTGACGCAAGGAACGATCGGAGCCTAAATGAGAACCGTTCTCGCGGGCTCGCTACCTGTCTCCGTGATTCACCACCTCCACCGCACCACTACGCCGGCTCCGTGTCGCGGATATAGTAACGCCGCGGCTCGCTTCTGTTGCTCCCCGTCTACGAATTCGTTCGGAAAGCTACCAGGGAAAGGGGTCCCACTACGTGAGGAAATTCCTTTTCACTAAATAAAAAAATATTGGATTCCTTATCTCTCGCGACCGCAAAATTCTTCTTTTTACACGTCGCCCGTCGGTGGCCTTATGTCGATGACGTGCGACTTCTCCTCGATGTGTTTAAACAACGAGAATTCCTGATGATTTGTCGCTGGAGAACGGGTTCAAGAATCTCGATTTATCCTCTGTTTTTTTTTCTTTCTCCCTCTCTCTCTCTCTCTTTCTCTCTCTCCACCGGTGTATTGATGTCTCCAAAATGTGCCGTTTTGTTGTCGTTTATATCTCGTGTCAATTTTCTCAATCGTCCAGTCGTTACGCTCCTATGGCTCGGTTGACATGGAAAAGTCTGGTATTACGTGTGTTTTGGGGAACTTTGCTAATCGGTTCGGGAGGTTTGTCTCTTATACACACCGCTGCGAACATAAACCACGCCTCTTTTGCGCGTCCGTAGGGGGAACGCGTTTTCGCGCGGTACGCGGCGTCGCGTCGCGGCGCTGCGCGGAGCGGTGCGACGCGAGGCGACGCGAAGCGACGCGACGGAGCTGTAACACGCCGCGCGCGATTTTATCAGATCTCTGCGAGGCCTCGGTGTTACCCACGCTCTTCGTTCCGAGTGCTTTGGCGCCGCGCTGTGTTGCATCAGAACTTGATCATCTAAATGTAACTGGTTAGATATTAAATCAGCGCCCGAAAGTTTCTTCCTGTCTTCTTTCTTTTTATTGCGTCTCTTTTTCTTTAAATCGCAAAATGTGTTTGTCCACAATCCAAACTTCTGTTGCGTTCTATAGTAAACAATGGGCAATTTTTCTGGAGAACAATACATTATAAATTATAAAAGCACATTGAGAGAGATGAATAGATGTTAACGCGTTCTTATAGACTGATTTGTTTCAAGCTGTCAGTACTCAACTTTCAAAGGAATTCTCGCTATAGTTCATATTCTTTATTTTAAATGGTTTTATTTTTATTTTCTAAAATTTGCATAATTTTCCATGTTTTTATTTTTAGTAACTTCTTCATTGGCTCTTTTCGATTTTGTACTTAATAAACTTGGTAGGTAATCTCTCCATCTACACTGATTCCGAACCGATATCATAATGGTTTAATTTTTACCAATTATTTATATTGTTATAAAACGCGAAAAAGATTCGAACTGAGTTTTTTAAAATCTTATTAGCATCTCGAAATGACTAAATTTTTGTAATTAATTATTAAATATCAAATATATGTATTAGGGAAATATTAATTTCATGATGTATATATTATATACAATTTTTGTATCTCTATTATTATCGGAATTGAAAATATTTTTTTTTTAATGAATATTATAAAATGTTGATTTTAAATCATTCACTGCTAAATTTTCCATGTTTTGGTCCCCGATTTGTCACTATCAGTATGTTTGATTTCAATAATAACTAAATGGAACAATTATTTTTTAATGAGTATTCTTTATCATTTCATAAAAGAACATTTGTATTTATATTAATTGTATCATGAAAAATATATTTCATGTTATTACGTTCAAAGTTCACACATTAGTAAGTCGTACATTTTTTCACAGATATATGTATCTATATATATTTTTCGCGATATTACAAAACATTTTTATATATGAAAAAGAAGTTTAAAAATTAAAAGATTATAATTGATCTAATTATTTTGATCTAATATTTCTTACAAAAAATTAAATTAAAAATTAAAAATTTTTTAAATTTTGTATTGTAAAATTATTGATTGTGTGACATTTAATTAATTACATATTTACTTATAATACTACAAAAGAGACAGCATTTTATCTATCAATGTAAGACTGTAACAATTTTTTTTTTTGCTAAAGATTTAAAATTTAGCAAAACAGAAAAGAAATGGGATAAAAAGATTTCCGAGTGTTACTACGTTTAATAATTTTATAATGAACATAATAGAGAGAGTTATACATTTATAACATTAATTACAATAATGTACATGCTTGTCAACTATTAATAAGATCTTTTTGCAACGTATATCATTTCATCAGCGCCCGCGTCATTTAACATTCTCACATGATAATTTGTGGGACAAGTTGCACCGATCTCTCACATTTATCCCATTTGCACCTAATGTATTATATATTAATAGATATCGATCTGTTTGAAAGTTGCGCTATTCATTGTGTATAATATGCATTTCCCGGCGTTTGAAGCGTTCAACTTGAAAATAAATTCAAAATAAATATATTCCTCCACATAATTCCAAACCTTGGTATTTCTTTATTTGTATATTTTATCCCTGATACTAGATTATTAAAAGAAAAGATACCATACTCTTAATATTTTTTGTTCTTCTAGTTGAAAACAATTTTTTAAATACATAAAGACTTTACAGTAAGAAAATAATATAATCAGTTAACAAATTAAATAACTCATTTTTCTATTTTCTTTAAACGATAATAAATGAAAAAGACAAACTTTTTAAACATGTATAATTAATCATGTGCAATGTGCTTCAGTCTAAAATGTAGACTGATATAAAAGGTATAGATAGTACATAAGTCAGTTATTTACAAGTTTTAAAATTGAAGGATTGTATCGTTAAAACACATAGTGAACCGATGAGACATGGATCGAACGACATTTGTATCCATTGCTCATCGAGGTAGGTTCAAACGGCGCAGTCTCGGCCGTCCATGGAAGGTTCGAGAGACGTTCGACCTCGTTCCACCATATATGTTAGTAGCCAGTCAGTCCTGTCTCCGTACACGCCTGTCAGCACGTACGCTTCACATCCCTGCTGTGGAAGTCTCGTATCGTCTCTTCCTCTTACCTCTCTGACCGCAGATCCTTTTACACGCTCGCGTATACAACAGCAGTACGCATTCAGCGAATAATGCTGAAGGATAGACGATTCCTTTAATGTCTAGCACATTTTTAATTTGATACTGCTTTTGTTGAATCCATATCAGCTTTCTATATCTAGCTCTTATCAGTCGTACGTATATCTATTGCGCGTGCTAATATTTAAATTTATTAGTCATTTGATTTATCAAAAGATACTGATAAGAAAAACTTGGAAGTTATAGTCTCTTGTAATCACCTTTTCTATCTAAGTATTACTTCCTAGTTACTTCCTAGCGAGTACTTAAGAATAGCCACAGACATTGAACTATTGCGGTACGTGTCTTCAGCATGATGTGTCGCTTAATTCTTAGCAGTCCAGTTAGAGAGTCTATGGTTGTTATTCTCAGCGTTTAGTCGTTAGTAAAAGCAATTCTTAACTGTAAGTGAAAAAGCTATTAATTAGAAAAACAACTTTGAAATCTTATTGATAAACATTTCAGCAATAAAAGCTCTTATATTTTATATACATATACGTATATAAATTATGTATATAAAATAAAAGAATAATATTTACGTTATATGTATTATTATAAATATTGCAGATGATTCATTATATACGTTTCGTTGCAATAAAAGAGCTTTTATAATATATGATTTTTTTCCATTTTAATTACACGTGCATCATTTTTATCTTTTTTTCTTAACATAAATATAAATATGTATATATATTTATATATATGTATAGTATATAAATAAAATAATATAAATAATATAAATAAATTTGTTATAAATTTTATATACATAATATAATATATAAATTTTTTATATGTATTATATTTAAATACTATAATTTTTTTCTCTTACTCATATTATCAGAGTGAGAGAGAGAGATCAATGTTTTTTTTTATTAAAATTATAGATTAAATGCTACATCTTTGTAAAATATGAACTTTGCACCATTATCATACTGATATAATATTTCAGGTATTTTTTTTCCTGAAATTTTTATGTACCAAATTTTATCTGATAGCAATATGAACTTTCGCGTGAATTTTATTGACGAATGTAAAAGAGAATATGTCAATATTTACTGCTACATAGATTATATATGATTTTAATGATTATATATGATTATAATAATTATATAAAAGTATGATTTTTACGCTATGATTTACGTATAATATTATATACGCTATACGTGTTAAATATATAGCGTAATTTAGGAATATGTGTAAATATTATTTCTAATGATATTTTTTATTAAAAAATAAATTTTTTAAAACAATTTTCTTTCTTTCAAGATTCTTGTATTAGCTATCAAATTAAAATTTTGATAAAGTGAATTCTTTGAAATTAAATTAAAAATATATTTTGGTTATGATATATTTTTACGCTTCTGAAGTATAACCTAAATGAATGATTAATTACAAATGTCATTCATAGCAAGTGTGCACAATCAGTAACTTTTTATTCAAGTAAAAAATAAGTATAGTTTTCGGTCACTGTATTAAGACATTTGCTAATATTTGCTAACATTTATAACTTGATTTTTTTTAATTTGTTGTTCAATCATTTACTCCAAGATT